AATAATAATAATAATAATAATAATAATAATAATAATAATAATAATAACAATAATAATAATAATAATAATAATAATAATAATAATAATAATATATAGCATTTATACTGAGCATTTCCATTTTCTAAAAGATGCTCAATGCGCATTACAACGAATAAGACATGACATCTTAAAAATTAATCGACATGCGTGTAAAAAGTATTATGCATGATATAATATAAATGTATATTATGTGTAAAAATGTATAGTATGAGAAAAACAGTCTCGCAGTGAGGTTGGAAATGTGTTCACTAAAAATATACAATGCAATAAAAATTCACGAACGTTCACAAAAGTTCAAACGTGAGTAACTAGAAACATTCATTAAATTATAATTAAAACATTCATTCTATAGAGATAGAAAAACATTTTCGTTCTCCCTCTCTCTCTCTCTCTCTCTCTCTCTCTCTCTCTCTCTCTCTCTCTCTCTCTCTCTCTCTCTCTCTCTCTCTCTCTCTCTCTCTCTCTCTCTCTCTCTCTCTCTCTGTGTGTCTCTCTCTCTTTTCTCTCTATCTCTCTCTGTCTTTCTCTCTGTCTTTCTCTCTGTCTTTCTCTCTCTCATTCTCACACGCCATTTCTTCAGTCTCACAGTCTGGCATACACATGCATATATATTATGTATATATATATATATATATATATATATATATATATATATATATATATATATATATATATATATATATCACAGTACATCGTTATGACAGGTATGCTTTTGGGAATAAAAAATGCTTCAGCTGATTTTTGAAAATGGAAATTGTTGGGCAGATCTTTTTTTATATTCGAGTTCGTTCCATACCTGGGGACCAAAGAATAAAAAGGAACGCTCGCCGTATGTTTTGTAATTTTGTTGTGGAGTTTTAAGAATTAGATTATCAGAGGCTGATCTAAGGGCTCTAGGTGGATGACATCTTCTTCTTCTCGATCGCATCACACTCGAAGTCTGGCATCTGTCATAAATTGGGCCGTCCTGCTCAGTTCATCTGTCGGCCTGTATAGCTTCTCTTGTAGCGTCAGTGGGGTTGGCCATGTTTCCTGTCTCAGGGCCCTGTGTGTCTTGCAGTGCTGAAGGATGTGTTTCCTCGATTCCTGGCACTATAAGATAATGGAAGGCCCTCCAGTCGCTGGGGTGGACCCCTTCGAGGCTTGGAGCCCGGCACTGCACCTGCCTGGTGGGTCCTCACAGGGCGAGCACCATATATAACGTTACCTACTTCAAGTGTCATTTATTGCAGTATTTCGTGGTCTTGTGGTTCTCTAGAGTGTGCCTTGCTGCCCAATACCTCCGATTTCAGCACTCCAGCTCCAGGTCCAAGGACCTACCCTGGGAGCACAGGGAGGAATTGTTACCGGATCCCACCCGTAGCCAGGACTTAATGCGGTCCTTTTCCGCATGATGCTCCCGTCAGCGGACTCCTAGGGCATTTAATGACGTGGTAGTGCCACCTACCACCTCACCCCGTCCTGGTAAGAGCATCGCCAGTTGGTCCGGGGCTGCTCTTTCAACAAATTCACAGCTAACCTCCATTACAGTGGCCGTTCCCTATCCGCCACCTGGGACCCGCCGGGTCGGGGATGGTCGCCCCAGCCCGGGTGGATGATATAATTCCAGGAATGTGTTAAGATAAAAGAGTGCACTATCATTTATACATATAAAACAGAGAACAGCAGTTTTGTATTTGATCCTTTCTTTTATTGGCAGCCAGTGTAGTTCTTTCAGAATTGATGTTACATGCGCTGATTTCTTGTAACTTTGATATTTTTTCGACAGTCACACCGGACAAAATAACATTACAGTAATCTAACTTTGATCAAATCAGTGTTGTTACAAGTGTCTTGGCTGCTGGTTTAGTAAATAATTTCTTACACTGCCAATTTTCTTAAGCCGAAAGTAAATACTTTTGCAGAGCTGGCTAATTTCAGAGGACATAGACATATCATAATCCAACTGAACCCCTAGATTTTTAAGACTTCTTTTTGAACGAATGGTATGGTTATTAATATCAATTTGTAGCTCTGGGAGATTTTTAATGGCTTTTGTATTTCCACTCAACATTATTTCCGTCTTGTCATCTTTAAGTTTCAATTTATTGCTGCTCATCCATATTTTTAAATCTCTAGTACATTGTTCAGTAGAGTCGACTAAAAGTGGTATTTGATCGAAATCAATAGACTTATAAATTTGAGTGTCATCAGCATAAAGATGGTAATTATTGCCATAGTGTCTTAAAATATCAGCAATAGGTTGTGTATACATTGTAAACAAGACAGGTCCAAGAACAGACCCCTGAGGAACACCAAATCTAAGCAAAACATTATCAGAACACGTGCTTCCAACCACAACTGCTTGTGTTCCATATTTAAAATATGACTCAAACTAGGTATACACACTTACATACTACACATAATCTCAATTTTACTCTGTTTGTCTGTCTGTCTGTCTGTCTGTCTGTCTGTCTGTCTGTCTGTCTGTCTGTCTGTCTGTCTGTGTGTATGTATGTCTATCTGCCCCCTCTCTCTCTCTCTGTCTCTCTCTGTCTGTCTCTCTCTCTCTCTCTCTCTCTCTCTCTCTCTCTCTCTCTCTCTCTCTCTTTTACACATGCACATATCTGGCGAGGTGTAAGATTAAATGATTTTATATTTATAAATTATACATTATACATATTTTATGATTAAACGCAGAGAGAGGGACAGAGCGAGGCAAACAGACAGACAGACGGACACACACACACACACACACACACACACACACACACACACACATACACACACACACACACAAAGAGATGGAGGCAGACAGAGATAATGATAGAAAAGGGGAGGGGGAATAAGCAAATGATTAAGGAAATTTAAGAAAGAACTCTTGAACACAGAGTACAAACTCTCCCCCTTTCTTTCTCCCCCCCCCCTTCTTTCCCTCCCTCCTCCTTTCCCCTCCCCCCCCCCCTCCTCCACCTGCACTTACCGTTCATTCTTCCTCAGGGCCTCCCCTCTTGAATCCCCCCCCCCCCCCCGTCCCCGAAAAGGGGGGGACCCTGATGAAACACAAAACTTAGATAAACCTGTGCCCCCACAAAAAAAATTTTGGGGATAGACGTAGGGACTGTCCCTTGTAAACGGGTGCCCCGGAGACAATGAAGGTGTGGGGCTTGGTGGTAAGTAAAAGGAGAAAACTACACCGAGAATTAAAAACACACAGCATCAGGACTACGGATCCGAGTATACTCAGGATAAAACTAATAAAAATCGTAAAGTAAATGTAGTCATAAATGATGCGTAAACTAGCTTATGAGACAGTTGGGAGGGAAACGGAGATAACAGTCGCTACAACTATGTCGA